TATTTCAAACCTACGCAATGTATCGAACTCATAGCATAATTGAAAGAGATATTTGAATGAATAAGAAATATTGATAAATTAGATGACTTTCTACAAGCAAAATAACTAATCATTTGTAGTTATCGTTCTCATATAGCGAATAACTAATAGTTGAGAGTGATTATCATACAACAATTCATAAACAATTCTGATTTTTAACGTTCTTTCAAAAAATGCTAAAAATCAAAAAAATAAAGACCAACTGTGATACATATGTTTTGTTATGAACGCTCAAATAAACCATCAAAGCAATTGCTGTTTGACATTTTAACAATATAGAAAAATAAATATCACACGGCTGAAAAAAAAATGTCTCTTGCATTTTAATAAATATGTTGCTATATGCGTTCGGATACTTGTATATGTAATTATAAACTTCTGCTGAATAATTGGAATGTTAGTGGATATGACAAATAAGTTTAATCTTTAATCATGAAGGTGATTTAACATTTTCGTTTCGCAGTTTTTAGTCTATTTGTAAAAAAAGATGTCACATTGATTGATTGGAGTAATCAAAACTAGTTTATTTGCTGATAACAAAAATATGATCTAAGCAGTGAGATGGTTAGTATGTTGAATATATGCAAAAATGAAGACAATTCAAGCCATTACGAAATTGTTGACAATCAAGAAGAGAGTTTTATGCTCAATTCTAGCAAATTTTGACTATACAATTAGAGTAAATACTTGTTTCATCTTAAGTTAGCATATTTAGAATTGATAAAAAAAATATCATTTTATAGGAATTGAAATAACACTATCAAGCTTGCTTTCTAAATTCTATGAATTTCTCTACAGACACTTCAGGTGAAACAATGCCATAATTCTACAATCGTCATATTAACAGCATGAAAAAATATTTCTAAGCGAATTTCATTCACCATTTTTATTTGTCCGGTAGAATAGCAAAAACAAAAAAAAAATTATTCACCTCCGTTAAACACACATTTACATTACGGTTATCATAATTATTTTTGATTCAACCATGGATAGAAAACTTGTCTCTTCATTCATCTATCCTTTCTTATATAAATAAAATTCTATAAATTTATAGCTTCCAAAAGATCTTATATAAAAGAACACTTCCAACGATGCACTCATTCTAATATTCTTCTCATCGTAAAACAACAAGATGCAGACAATACAAAAACAAATAATCATCCTATGATCAATGAATATCTTTGATATTTGTTCTATTCACTAACTTAGTCATCTGAATTAAATGCTTCAATATAGAACATCAGCAAAATAAACTTAAAAGAACCGAATCATATTATTCCAATAAATCAGTTCAGATGTTTTGTTCATTTCGAAAAAAAGAAAGCGATCATAACTAGATAATATAAGATTACATCACAATTGAATATTTTTCATCATACTTCTGTCTGCCAATCCATTTGGTTTCAAAAACAAGAGAGTAAAATGCATCCTATGATCGAAAATCACATGACAAATGAATATTATCACCAATACTTCTGTTCACTAATTCATTTGATTTCGACGTCAAGCAAGCAAAATTCCATCTGATGACACAAGCTCGCACGACAATGAATACGTCATACCATAGTTCTGTTTAACTATTCATTTTATTTCGAATACAAAAAAGTGAGCTTCATCAGATGATTCAAGTTGACATAACAAATGAATATTTCGCATCGTAGTTCTATTCATCTATTCATTTGCATTGCAAAGAAAAGAAAACGAAATTTATTAGATCAGCCAAAATCACATAGCAAATGAATACTTCTGAAAATACTTCTAATTAGTTGTTCGTCTTATTTCGAAGACAAGAAAGTGAGACTTATCAGATGATCCAATATCATATAGCGAATGAATATTTTTGAAAATACTTCTATTTACTTTTTTATTTCATGTCAAAGATAAGAAAGTCCTATTGATCAAATGATTTAAGATTACAGAACAAATGAATATTTTTGAGAATATTTCTATTTATTTATTGAATTCATTTTGAAGACAAGGAAACACAATTGATTAGATGATTCAAGATCAACCAATGAATAAATAACTTTGAAAATCCTTCTGCTCAGTTATTTATTTCATGTTGAAGATAAGAAAGGACGGGTGATTTGATGATGCAAGATCACATGGCAAATGAATATTTCTGATAATACTTCTATTCATTTATTCCTTTCATTTTGAAGACAAGACAGTGAGATTCATCAAGTGATGATTGATTGTATGATACATTGAAATTTTTCATGATAGTTCTGTTCACGCATTCATTTTATTTGGGGATTTGTGTAGAAGAATTCATCAGAATAGCCAAGATCAAAGAACAGACATCGATATTGGATAATGATTCTATTCAACTATTCTGCTCAATTAGAATGGAAGCCAGTAATATAACAAAGACTAATAATGAAAACGTAAACATCGCATATGCATTTACCAAAAGTTTTATTCACAATTGTTCTGAATTTGACTATAGTAGATGTTGTAAATCCTTTTAGTCACAAAACCTGGTAATAGTGAATAATTAAAATCAAGTGTATGTTAAGCTATTTCATTTATTGTGACGGAGATATTTAATGTGTATCGAAATGATTCTTTATTGTATGTTTGATGAAAGGTTCTGAGAAGATTTGTTAGAAGTATAGTTACTTATCGAACTGTAATAAAGTTATTGAACTGATGAGATTTGCTTATAAGATGTTGCATAAAAATTGAATAGTTATAACATGCTGGACGAGCACCGCTGTTACATGGAAGTTTTGTCTGTTTAATGGTTGCAGCTAACTGTTGTTTCTCCAAAAAAAGAGACGTTACAGAGAAGTTTTTCAACAAAAAAACAAATAGGTAAAACAAATTTCAGAAACTGTCGGGGAAACATCTCCAACTGTGAAAATCGCTTTTTGATCGCGTATATGTTCAAACGATAGTTCTTAATGAGCTATTAAACGCTCTACAAGGATTTGGTTTTTCAGGCCTCCTCAGCAGATATATACCATTATTACTAATATCTCACTAAGACACTCAATGGTGGTTAAGATTCCAGAGTTTGAAGGTAAATCAATGTTTCTTATTGAAGCATGTTTAGTGAAAATATCAAATATATTAGTAAAGTAGTATAACCAGCAAAACTGATATTAGTAATAATCGTATATCTCTGCTTAGGAAGCCTGAAAAATCAAACTCTTGTAGAGCGTTTAATAGCTCATTGAAGTCTATCATTTGAGCATATACTCGATCAAAAAGCGATTTGACAGTTGGGAATACTCCATCGTGAATCGTGGCGGTGTATGCAGGGATACCCTATTGATTCATAGAATGGAAGCCGTCCTAAGATTTAGAAACCAAGCAAGCATAACTTTCTAGTTTTCATTTAGACTAACCAGTGCTTAAATAGGTTTTTGCTTCTGAATAATTTCCGGTCTGTGATAATATCATAATACATGTACTGCCTAAAAGTTCTTGATATACTAATATAACTCATTCAAGGCCAGTCAAACATGTTCTAAATTCAAGAAGATACGATAGTTAGCAGTAACGAATCCTAGATTTCACTGATAAGTAAGTAAGATATGCATAATAACTTCTATGAGTAATGAGTGCATACGTATAGTTGATTGCATGAAATTTGATGAAGTCTAAAAACAGTTCAACTCAAACCTCTCAAAGTCCATTGAATAGAAAAACGAGCTGAATGTCAATTTATAAGGACCTACATGATCGACCAGAGACTGTTTCTTAAAACTTTGTCAAATTATAGTTACTAACTTTTTTCAATTACCTAACTAAATTCTCTTTGAATTACTCTTGTCAGTGAAAAATTGATTAGCTTCGAAGAAACTGTTCCGCTATATCACAATGCCAATACGGAAAAATGACATGGATATAAGCAGAAAAAAATCGAGAAAATGATTTAAACATTAGTCAATTACAACGTGAAAATGATGAACAACAAGCTCGTTATCTAGCAAATGAAACTATCTTTAGTAATTATGTTAAAAATATGGGTGATATTATTCTATATAGCTCAGTTTAATTTGAAGGACAATAATAGATAGTAACATGTGCATTAACATCTACTATTTTACGACAATTTGATTTAGACAAGAAACGATTAGTCATACAATTTTTGTATGGTGCCACTATTTTACGACGTTATACAAGTATATTTGATACACATACAACACGTGAAAACGAAAAAAATTTAGAAGGTGTAGTTTTAGATCAGGTCATTTTTAGTGGTGGTGGTTTAAATTTATCGACAATAATGTTACGAAGAGGGCTGCGCAAGTACGAGTACAACTTGTACCACGCGGTTCACAGCTGACTATGTACTACCTTGTACCACCTTGTATCGAGCTCATGTATCGATATAATAACATATATACCCCGGAAAAACCTAGAATTCTAGAATTCATGTACCACCTTGTATCGGGGTGGATGTGGGTATGATGAGAAGAAACCCACACCCACACCCCACACTCACCCACACCCACACCCACCCACACCCACACTCACACACACACCCACACCCTTACTTTTCACCGAGAAAAAGTGCTTCAATAGTTATTGTTCGATTTTCAATTGCTTCAGTTGTCTGAAAGTAATCGATTTATAATTTAACTCTATTTTTAACTAAAAACCAAATGATACGGTGAGTGTGTGCGTGTGTGTATGCACATTTTTTTATCAAGCAAATAAAAAGAGATAAAGGTATTGATCTTTAGTTTTTTCTTTCGAGAACGACAACTTTCGGAAATTAACGATGATGTTTGTTGACGAAAGTAGAACATAAGACAAAGTTTTTTTTTTTATTGAATGTAAAAGTGACGATGACATTGAATAAGTAAAGAAAAGCAAAGCTGTAGTAAAACTTCTTATAACATATACTAATGAAAGTTAAATCTTTATCGCAGATATTATATTACTAATAAAGAAATCATTATTAAATTATCGTGAGATACTCGAGATTTCGCCTATTTTTACGAATATTACCAATCACTTGGCGAATCTAATAAAGATTTTTTATTAATATCAATAGAAGTAACGATCGGCAAATGTGCATTAGTAGAATTCAATTTCATGCATATTTCCTTTTGATCAACATGCACATCACTATTTATAATCGGTTTTGACTTTGATATACAAATTTGTATTTCATCTTTGTTCGATACTTTTACAGGACTTTTTTTAATATCACTTTGTTTAAAATTAAAAAATGATTCTGGTGTTTCCCATGGACCTTTGGAATCTATAAGCCACATGAAAATATCTGCTTTTCGTTTTGACATTAATGAATAATATTTATCTATACCATTGAGATCATTTATTGAAAAATATTCACCTTTTTTATGACAATGACATACACCCATCAATGATGATATATAGATAATTCAAAGTATTAAAGTATGTTTTCGATTGATAAAGTGAATTTTGTATCGTTTCATTTGCTAAAAGAATCCAAGAAAACAAAAAACCGAACGTATGAATTTCATATAATCGAAACTAATGATTAATCTAAAAGATCTTATTTAAAAACGCGCAATTATTATTTATTCATGTCTTTTTTTTTCCCTAAATCGAAATAAAAAATTTCCTCGTAACTTACTATGGACTACACACAAAAAAAACAAGCAACGTTCATTGAGAATTGATCCTACACTGACAGGATTGAGATATGTACATGTATATAGGCACATCTAAGTATTAACCTACATTAAGTAAGATACTAGATAGACGCATGAGGTGACTTGACAAAGAGCAGCCATTCGTTTCATAAAACCAATTTTTTTGTTATGTAAAACTTCATTTTGAATATGCTACATTTGTCCAATGAAGTTCAGTTTATATGTGCAAATGTTAGTGATTTTTCTACAGAAATTTTTCAATCGTTTCAATATTATAATTATATTGACTTTTGTTTTTTCATACTTTTTTTAAAACTTTATTTTCAATTTCCAACGTCAATGAAAAACTCTTGTTATATGTTGAATTCTTAAATTCTATTTATGATCTGAGATTACAAATAGTAGTATATTGATTTTAAAAATTTTATACTCGAAGTTTCAATATTTGAGATAAAAAAACTTGAACTTCAGAACTATCCGGTTTTTCTTCATGTTTGAAATAAAACTTTTATTTTATATATATATATGAGTAAATTGCAACTTTTTGATATGATTGACTGGAAAAACTGAAAGTAGACCTAAACAAATTCTGAGTAGTATATTTTATTATACTCTATGTTAAAAGTATAAGATCAAGAACTGAATTTTTCATTACTTATATAACTTTTTATTTTACACCTTCTTTTAAAAATTTGAGTCAAATCGAACGATTCATTAAAAAGTTATAAAGCAGGCAATTTTCAAAATGTCACTCTACAAAATAAGTATAATCAACATTTTTTTGAAAGTTCCGTTATTTTTTCTCTGAAACAAAGCTGATAAGAGACAAGATCTTCTCGCTAGTTTATTACTACAAGAGTTACCTCTCTTCTCGTATGATCTGCGATCTGCCAGCTCTCTGACACGAAAAGCTGGATATGAGTTTAAATTAATTACATATTATGATAGAGCGTCAAACGCTGCATAAACTGGACTATTTACATCCTTTTTCTCCTGTTTTATTATAGCCAAAAAATTTCCTTTTCTTTGCACATGTCACGAAAAAAAATGACAATTTTTTGTAATATTTCTCTTGTCAGTCAGCGAGCATATGAGCTAGATAACTAAAATTTGATGTGAATGTGGGACACTCAAAGTAAAGCAACATATAAAAAAAATTGTTCAAATCGGTCAACGAGAACAAAAATTATTAGACAAATACAGCTAAAATTTCAATCGTACCAAAAAGTTACAATTCACTCATATATATATATATTGATTTATTAACTCTTCTACGGTTTTTGTGGGTCCGACGAGACCCACAACACTGTTTTTCGTTTTTTCCTACTTAAAGATCTATCCTTTTCACAACCGTCTTTCCGCTAATCGTTAGTCTTCTAACGATACACAAGTGCTGTATCAAATTTCGTACAAAACTCTTACCAGTAAGAAACTGAAATGTGGATCTGCATGGACCCGCTACCACCTTTGGTATTATATAGATGTTTTTTTTATTCATATTACATCTGCCTTCTATTGTCTTTTACCTATAATTTGTTACTCCAACACTACCAATAGTGAATCGTGTGTTTTTTATCTTTGTCTGATGAATTTTCTTATATTTTGGTCGAGATATTTCTGCCATCGGCTTTGGTCATGGTCACGACAATCATACACGAGTTTCTTCCATTGAAAACAACTAGCCTCAAAACTTCAAAAGTTGTTCAAGTACAGAACTTTTAATATAAGTGGCCATACTATAGTCATATACATTGTTCATTCGATAACTTTGTAAAGCCGTAATTTTATCATAATCCGTTCTCAAAAACTTTTTTAAAAATGTAATCATCCTCACACATCACAATCATATTAACGTATCCGCACTTTGATAAAAATCATGATATAAGCTTTAATTCATCATATCTAGCGCAAACTAGACAAAAAGAATCAAATTCTCCTAAGTCGTCATTTACATGTGGGTTCCACTGGATCCACAAAATACCATTTGTGTAATACAATGAGAATACCGTCCGAGAGTTAAGATATCATAGAAATCAATACAATTTGTTATATTAGTGCTATTTCTATTGTACAAAAAATAATTAATATCACTTTATCATAATCTTATGTTCAATCTCATTCTCTAACTCTTAATAATTATTATATCATAGCTTAATGTATAGAACATTGAAGCATTCATTAATTGGTCACATGGCTCAGTATTACGATCGTATTTTGCATCTTGGGATATTACTATTTGGTTAATTTGAATAATCTTAATGCATAGGTGCCTTTGTTTTTGTTATCCTACGCAGTCATTTGTACCATATGACAACTATGTTAAAGACAGGTAAATTTCCGTTTCCAGACCCTATCTTTTCAATGTAGAAAACATCACAACATAAAAGATTATTTTTCTTAGAAAACAAGGTTATGTCATTTAATATGTGCAATCTTGGATGCAAATATATTTATGCATTATTTAATTAAGTATTGAAGATTCAATATTGAAAGATCAGAAGAAATAGACCATGTATCATATTCGAATTATATATTTTTTTTTTGTTTTATTTTTCTTAACTACCTAAGTTTTTATAACATATTTCACGATATAATAGAAAAAATACTCATTAACAATTGAACACACTCATATTAAAATTAGTTTTTTTTTTGTATTTCCTTATATCTCTCATTTTCTTTTTTCTCTTTCATTTTTTTTTTTGTTATTTAAGGCGTTTGTAAAATGTTTTAATCATATTATTTAACAATACCATTTTCTTTCACCTTTATTTAGTTTCCAAAGAAACAAAAAATTTGTTATCTAAATAATGACAAACATGTTGGTAGCAATAAAAATAAGCATTCTTGAGTAATTTTCATTTTTATTTTATTTTTTCATCATTACTAACATATACACTAATCAAACGTGAATCTACGGTAATGTCTGCTGCTGAAACGAATAGATTTGATGATAATGATGATTTTCAACCTCGACAAAGTTTATCTGAACAAAGACATTCAATGAATAATAGTGTAGAACAAAATAACTTTGATGATCATATGTCATCATCGATAATTGATAATGAAGATGAACAATCACAAGATTTAAAACATATTACAAAACCAAAACAATTTAGTCAAAAACCAAAAATTCAAAATTCAAAAAAATTATCAAAATCTATGGTTATTACAGATAATAAATCACCATCACTTCAACGGAATTCTTCAATAAAAACACGTTAGTATAAAAAAAAACCAAGACTATTTACTTTTCGATCGAAAAATTCTTAACAGCTGTCACATACAGTTATTATCAACGATAAAATATGACTAGAAATATGTTATCTAAAAGTCTATTCTATTTACTGACAAAGTCCATTATTTTTAGGGAAGAAGAACGTTCTATTAATTTTCAAGAAGATTCTTTTATTCTCTATTTTTTTTTAATTACAATATTGTCGTCATTGAAAAAGTCTATTGTCATCACAAATTAAAGAGCAAATGTAATCTATTAATGACTTAGAGAACATTTGAAGGTAATGAGTATTTTATCAATATTAGTATTCTCTATATATTGTTGTTACCTTAGTAAATTTTTATTGTTCAATTTTGCCAAAAAAAAAAATTAGTCAAGTGAATTTTAATTAGAATAGAATAAGAAAATTAATATCTCAAGTCCACATAAAACATTATTATTCAAATAGAATTAAGTATGATGAAGAAAACTACTTGTCATAATTTTCAAAAACATATTCTAATCGACATTTATACAAAAAAGAATTTTATCAGAACTATATCATTTTGTTTTGAAGCATTCATTAGGTAGTGTCAATGACGTCAATAAATAACAAAAGAAAACTTGACATATGTAAAAGTTTTCATAATTTTTCTACTAGAATCTACATAGAGCAGTCAAAAAGTAATGAGAGTAGTACTGTAATTTCTTATAAAAAATTGTAAGAAACTTTCTATATAGTCTGATAGAGAAAAGAATGTTCTAGTTTTCTATGCTATTTGATTATACTTCAACTAAATATTATAATAATAAAATTTCGATAAGACCTATTTTTCTATCGCTCTCTTACTACTTTTTGACTGCCTTATGTAATATTATCATTACTAGAAATCTACAAAATCACTTTTTTCAATTCCGATTCCGATAAAAAGTTTTCTAGTCCTAATCCTAGTCTTAATTAAAATTTTGTATTCACATTAGTCTTTTGTAAAACACGATCTAAAAGGAGTGTTGAAGTATATATGATAGAAATTTGCATCCCCCTCCGACAGACTGGTTACAGATACGTTAGAAATGGCTCATAACAGACGTTTTTGATATACGATCAATAACGTCATCTCGTTATAATATATGAACTACTTTCCTCATGCATCTCTGAAGGATTTCGTAAAAGAATGATGAAGGGATGTGTCTTAAAATCGATCGAATAAAACAATTTACATGCGAAGTTACATCGTGTTTCACATTTTAATTACGCTAACAGTTTTATTTCGTAGGTCCGATTTCGTTTCTAAAATTAAAACGACTTTTTTAAAATAATGTGTATAATTCTTCGAATACATATAAAAGCTAAATGAATGGTTTTGACTCGTTAATAGAAAGAACATTCTTTTATATGCAGATCTCAGAACTAAGGACATACAAAACTGTTGTTTTTTTTCACTTTCACTTATGTAACTTAGAATACTTTCTTAGTAGTTGTTGTTTTTTGGAAGATGTAGAAATTCTATACAAATAATCTTAAATCAGT